TTTTTACCATACTGTACAAAATTCTGATTTCGACTAAATTGGATTACTCGAGATATTTGAGCATGAAAATAATGAATTAAAACTTATTTAAAAACTTTGCAATACCACCGCGTTGTTCCCCCGAAGTGTAGTATCGAAAGCAATCTTGACGAGCCTCAAACTGACACTACATAAAAGTAAAATGTCTCAATTTCGATATTGCATTCTGCCCACATTTTTATCGTTCAGGTCGCGCCGATCACTCACTGTATGTAGTGTGTACCGTCGTAGCCATACACCGTCCCTTATTACTTATTACGTGATTTATTTACTTTTCATTTAATTCACAATTAATTTATAACGTCTTGAAATGAATTGATGTATAACAGTTAAACTCACATATACACAATTTCTAACAGCGCGAACTATTTTTTACCTCGGCGTTGAAATTGGAACTGTCCTGAAACACAATCCGATTTGCTTATATAGCAAATGCGAGTGTTCCCGAATGTTCTCGAACATTCTAGAACAAAACAACATATTTCCCGGACAGTTTGCGTCACATCCGCATTCGTTCTTTATAGTGGATAACTAATCTTTCATGGTACCTAGGTATTTATCAGGATTTCTGGCATATTCGCTGCTACAATAAACCGACACAACGAAATATCGAAAGATCCTCCGTATTACAATCACTTTTAACGCCAATTATTTTAATCTTACATAATACATTTTATAGTTAACAAAAATTGAGATAATCTTCTTTGTCTTTTTCCCAACGATCTTGGAAAAAGACCAAGAACATTATCTCAATGACCAAAACATAAATTTGATCTATTTTTGGCGACCACATGGATTTTGATCAAAACATGTCATTCTTGCACTGGTATCGTTGGGAACAAGATTAAGACGTGAATTTGATGCATAAAATGTATTATGTAAAATTAAAATAATTTGTCGTTAAAAGTGATTGTAATACTGAGGATCCTTCGATATTTCGTTGTATCGGTTTATTTCCAATGCTTCCGATGGTTGCAAGGATTGCAAAATCGGTGAATTTTGAAATGTGTGGTTACTGTGGCAGGAAAATACTATTTTGAGTATTCAATTTGTACTTATTTTAATTGTATAAGCTGCAGGAGTGAGACTAATTTGGTGTACACTGTATCATAACACTGGGGAACAGTAATTTTGCGGCATGGCAGATTGAAGTCAATTCTGTATCAGACTAGTGTGCTGAATACTGGAAAAATATCAGATTTGTAAAATTGGCTCCAGTTTTTGAGATAAAAAACTATTAACTATTTAAATCAAAAATTTTAGTAAAAATACCAATTTGCACTGAAAAATACTTTTATTAAGTTTGATCTTTAAGAATGAAACAAAAGCAAATATATCTATGCAGTTCACTGACGAAATTTAATTTCTGCCATGGTTCTGCTCAAGACAATCCCTTACTAAGGCCAGCAGTAGTCTACCATCATGTGGCGGTCCCATCGACCTTGGTATCTTTCTTCCATGACCCTAATGTCCTGGTGGAACCGGTCTCCTTGTTCCTCGCTGTAATCGCCCACATTATCCGGGAATCTATCTAAAATGACAATGCAAAAAGTGCACTTTAATGCTCATATTAGCTCCTAATTTGTTAAAATTTTGAAGCATTTTTGTGACTAGTTTTGCATAGTCTGGAGCTTTATGATTCCCTAAGAAATTTTTGATTACTAAAACAAAGCTTACCCATGCCTCAGATTCCATTTGTGTCATATAGTTCACGAATTCAGTGTCTTTTATTAATAAGTGTTCGGATTTGAGGTCCATCGAAGATGCCCGCTTTCAACTTTTCCATACTTAGCGCTGGAAATTTTTTACACACATACTTAAAACAGTCACCCTTCTTATCAAGGGCTTTGATGAACTGTTTCATTAGCCCGAGCTTGATGTGAAGTGGTGGAAAAAGGATATTTTTTCGGTTTAGCAGTGGTTCATGAATCACATTTGATTTTCCTACCTTTTTCGCGCAAAGGCCAATCCTTTTTACTCGAGTTTTTACTCCAATGCAAATAAGATGAACTGATAATTTCGGTCTAATAGCTGATCAGTGAAATGTTTACTACTAAATCCATGAATAGATAACCAAACTTAGTTGGAAATATTCAAATAAATACAACTTTAGAAGGGTAGTTTAAAATTTTGCATTGATTTATTACGTTTCGTTTATCCCAAGAACCAGAATCAATCCAAAAAAACTAAATGCATATAGTGTATATCAAATACCAGTGTTGACATTTTTATTTTTTTTGTTCCGCTGTGAATTATTGGAAGATTGAAACGTCTTGTCAATTATTCATACCACCTTGAATTTCCTATTTCCGATTGTGACGTGCAACTTTATCCTTAACATATTGACTTTATAATTAAGGAACAAGGTAAGAGATAAACAAATTTCTGCACTGTCATTTTGTTCAAGTCGCATTTATTTCAAAGTTTCGCTGTTAACTCAATTTATAAAGCTCATTCTCATTTCTCGTACTTTCTAAGAAAACTCAAATTTTACGGTGTTTGATACAGTTTTACAAAAGTGGCGTGTGGAGTGTGGAAAAGTTTCATTTCATATTCATACTGTTAGTACAGGCAGAGATATATTACTTGCTTAGGTGCTTATCCAGCTTATCAATGTTTCCAACACATCTATTGAGAAAAGTTGTATATTATTTCCAAAATCACGCATATAATCACAAATTCAAAGGGGTGAACGAACCAAAGTTCTTACTCTGCTATCATAAATGCCGTATGTAACTATCTTCAAGATACTTGTTTAAATATTTTACTTGCGGTATCTTAAACCATGTATTTGTTAACTTCTCAAATAAAAATGACAGCAAACCGTGCATGATGTATTATAGAGATAGAAATGCCGTAAAATTATTGGTCGCTCAACGATGTTCCGAGCGCGTAATTTGGTTATCATAATTTAAGTAAATGAAAGAAATTGTTACATAATATATCGATTTGTATTACAGCACACTGTAAAAAAATTAAAAAGATTGAGATAACTTGAAATTGTCTGGTGAAGGTTAACAATATTGTTATTAGATAGTGCGTAATAGCAGTCAATGACAAGATCAAATCTGTTAATAAAAAATGGTAATGTGCACATAAAGCTTTTTGGCACTTAATATTCGCTACTTAAATTATTTTATGATTTTTAATCAGTCCAAAGGTCTGCCATTCGAAAAAATAAAATATTTCTTCCATATGGATCCACCTCGAAATCTAGTATTTATTATTTCAGAAGATTTTGCGGTAGATATAGCATGACCCGAAAAATCAAGCCTTTCTGTTAATAAAAGATAATAGAAATCTACCATTAAGATTAAGCTGAACCAAATAAAGCAATAAAACAACTTGTTATAAGCTTCAAGATAGTATCACTAAAATTGTCAAGTTGTGAAATAACCGCAAGAGATTTTTCTTTTATGACGGTGGGAATAAAATCAAAGAATTAAATTAAGACAGGGCTCGGCAGAGTGTGAATGATGTGATTACAGTTATACTCACAGTTATACTCATTTTTCAACGAAACCAAAATTTTATTTTTTCAACTTTCAACAACAATCAAAGAAAACAGAAATCATAACATTGACAACGTAACGTTCATTTGTTCAATTGTGTCTGTTTTCTTCACGCACTCCTGTAGATTGTTGTGAGAAGTTGTCCAGATGCCTCCGACGAATTTTTCGATGGAACCGCTTGAATTTCTTGTGTTATTGTTTCAATCAGGGCTTTAAGTATACGTGGTTTGTTTATGTAAACTCGTGTTTTGATGTACCTTCATAAAAAGTAATCACAAGGTGACACGTGTGGTGACCGAAGAGGTCACTCTGCATCTCCACGAACAAAATGCGCCGTCCAGGATAATGTTTGCCTTAAAAATTCCCTATCTGTTATCGGCGAGGTTATCGGTGTATGGCATGTCGCCCCATCTTGTTGAAACTATATAGTATTGGGGTTGATAGCGAGGGGCAATTCACGGTACGATAGCGTGTACACCAGACTTCAAAGTTGAGAGACTTCAACTAACTTCACAGAGACTTCAATGGATTTCACTAAGACTTCTGGAATGCTTGTGGACTTCATAGAGACTTCAGGACTCCTAATGGGACGCCTTCTATATGACCTAGATACATCAATTATGGGCAGTAGTATAGGCACTGTAACATAGGTCAAAAACGATGCATTTTGTGCTTGACTTTGTGTGTGAATAACTTGGACTTTTGAGGGCTGGTTAGATTTGAGAATAAAACAAAAATGTGCTCAACAGGGATTTCTTTTTATTGACTTGTACATAGGACCATTTCCTAATAAAATAATTGGGCCGTAAAAAATAAATTCCCTTTTAACAATTTGTACGTCTTCATGCTTTGGCCATTCGTATTTATCCAAATTTAATTTTAAAAATTTTATTTCAAATGTGCCGTTAATCATGATTCTAAGGCATCTCCCAATGTACCAGGTATCTGTTGGATATGGCGATCACACAATTTTAATTATACATAGAGAGTGTGTGTAGTAGTTGTTTTGATAAAAATAATGTTCTAATTTTGCTTGTCACGTTAGGTACTTCAAATAAAGTTCTTTATCCGTTTTTATTGATTAATTCTTCATCACACGGTAAATCCATTCTATTTGAAATGTGATCTTGCAAAGCTTGAATGACTATTTTTGAGCATATTTTTTGGGCAGACCGGAAGTTCATTCGGTCTTCGGATTTAATGTCGCTTTTTGTTAACAAATGTTTGTCAAACTGGTTATAGGGTTTGCTCTCTTTTCATTTTTTAAAGAATTAAACATTTAATTACAATTTGAAATTCTACACATAAAGAATTAGGAAAGGAATTTGATGGAGGAAGGCAGGGCCCGTAACTGCATTATATTTCTACTAGGCAAGGTTACTTTTTTGCGCCCCCTAGAGAAAGCGCTACCAAGGGAAGGGTGCGGGGGAGGGGGGGGGGTAAACATTAATATTTTTTTTAAGAACAAGTTTATTTTTAATAACAAAAAAATGGTAATGTGTAGTTATAAAATCAAATAGGTACTTACTTACGAATAGAAATTCTACGCTCTACTTAAATATTTGAGTAGAAAGATAATTTTACAAACAACATTGTCTGGCTTTTTGTGATGCGAAATCTGATATATATTTATCAAAAGAAATTGATTCTGCAATGATCCTTTCTATGGATAATATGGCAGTATTAGATAATCTTTGTTGGGACATGGTCGATCGTAAATAGTTTTTTAAAAGTTTCAATTTTGAAAAAGTTCTTTCACAAGAAGCACTAGTGACCGGTATTGTTAGAAAAATGTGTAATGCTGTAGCAAAATTGGGATACTCTGCCATTAGATCATATTTATGTAGGTTTTGATAAATTTCCAATGCAGATTGTCCCTGGATATCAAAAAGTTCTTGCGTTTGAAACTTAAAACTTTCTGCTTCTTGAATAAATTCAGTACAATTGAAGTCGTTGGGATATTTATCGCACAAAGCATTGATGCACTTTTCAGTATCAGAAAGACTCATTTTGGACAGAACTGACCCATTAAGAAAACTAAAATCACTGCAAATCTCATGTAAACCTTTATATCTGTTACTTAACTGCGTTATTATTGAATCGATGACTTGAAAAAATAGCTGTTTTTGTTTCGTTTTTGGGTCTAAATAAAAATCGTCAGCAAGCTCACCGCTCATCTTTTTAATTTTTCTTTTTCGAACTTCCTTATATTCCGTTGAAAGAGTGCAATTTTGACAAATCTGCAAAGCATCTCTTTCAGATTTTTCAAAATAACCATCTCTGTTTTCCTTGATTTCTTCTAATAACCCTTTAATGTGTTTGCAAGCGGTATCTAATGTTAAGTCCTTTTTCTGCAGTAAGAGATTTATTTTATTAATTTTATTTAATAGAGATGACCAAAAAACTAAAAGAATTACAAAGTCGAAATTTTTAAGATTTTTTTGAAAATTTTTTGCCCCAATTACTGTTTCACCAGAATATATTGAAACATCAGTCATTTCTTCTAAGAGATCCAAAACCAATTCAAATTGAGTGATAAGTGCATTCAACGCTAATGCTTTGGAAGACCACCTTGTATCACTAAATCCTTTTAGGGTAATATTTAATGCATTTTTTAGTTTAGTCCATCGCACAGTGGAATGCGCAAAAAAATTAAACAAATTTTGAATAATCCCAAAAAAAGTTATTATTTCAGGGCTAATTGAAGCACTGTGTAATGCCACTAAATTTAAACTATGCGCCGAGCATGGGACAAATCTTGCAGTAGGATTTTCTTGCAGTATCCTAGCTTGCACGCCTTGATATTGACCTGCCATATTAGAACCATTGTCATAAGCCTGTCCCCTAATATTTTGAATATCTAGTCCTAGTTCTTGTAACACTTTTTGAAGGATATTGGCCAATGCATAACCGGTTTTTTCTTTTACCTCAATAAACATCAGAAATCGCTCCTCAATTGAACATGTTTTCCCATTTTTCTCTACATACCTTACTACTAATGACAATTGTTCCGATTTCGATACATCAGGGGTTGTATCCAAAATAACACTAAAATATTTTGCCTGTTTTATTCTTGAGACAATTTCATTTCTAACGGCATTACCAGCTATTGCAATTAGTTCGTTTTGGATCTTTGGCGAAAAGTATTTTTTGTGATTTTCGGAGTCTATGTGCTGCTTAAGTATAGGGTCGTAATGACTTATTAACTCTAATGTTTGCAAAAATTTACCAGAATTTGGATGCCCAATTTTTTCTACAGATCCACGCAAAGCTTCGTTGTTTTTGACACAGAATAAAATTGCATCTAAGATACATTTTAGAATATGTTTCCATCTTTCAGTTTCAGACAAAATCATTTTTTGAATTTCATCTGTTAAAAAATGTCTTTTCTTTAAATTAATTTCAAATGTTATTAAATCAATAACACATTTTTTATGGGCCGTAGAATTTTCGTGACTTTTTACCCTTGGACCAATATTATGCCAATCTCTAAATCCAGTTTTCTTTGTAGAAAACTGGCTACTTGCCCCTCCAAATAACAGGCATGGAAAACAATAAATTACATCCCTTTCTATGCAATAAAACAACCATTTACGTTGAATACTATTACCATTTGGCAGAATTTTGGAAAAGTATTTTTTTGAAAATTGCCTAGTATTTGTTACAGGATAACAATCTAGGTTATCTCCATATACAGGCCCATTTTTTATCAACTGTTCTAAAAACACTTTATCTCCCTTCCAATTTACCGGATTGTTGTAATTTATTATTTCTAATTCTAATTCACTACTACTATTAATACTACTTATTCCACCTTCCTTTTCCATTGATTTCAAGTCGGAGGTTACCTGAGTGTCCGTGTCTTCTTTGCTATTGTGTGTCGATGTCGATTCAGTTTCCATTCCATTATTTTCTCCCGCCTCAATTTCTTGAATTTGTTCACTTAAAGTTGCGCTGGTATTATTTTCACATTCGTTATCTCGTTCACTGCCGATGATAGTACTTGATGAAAGAGAACGATCTTGATCTCCACTTCTACACATCTCCTCTTCAACACCTTTTTGTCTTGATCCCAATTTAATAAATGTTTGCATAAGTGAAGCACTTTTCTGATTGACATTTAACTTTTTCGCTCTAATCTTTTTAAATTCTGCCCCCGAAAGCTTTTTTTTGGGTAACATCTGTAATAATAGGTATAAAAAATAAAATGGAAATCAGAATAAAAAAGATACCATACCCTTCTCTATGCCTGCTGGCTGCTGGCCTTGTTGCTCTCTATTTATTAAAACAAGAATCACACTAAATTAAGGTCAGTGAGCTCTTTCGCGTCAATAGACTGCTGAATAGTGAAAATTGAAGAATCAGGATGCACCGTGACTGCGACGTTTACTCGCACAGTCGCACATTATATGAATAAACGTCACCAGCACCAGCGTGTCTGTCGCGTAGATCGGTGCTGCAAGTTTTGCTAAACTTGAGCTTGAATTTCAATACAAACACGTGCAAGTATGCGCTTGGCTGGCGAGTGGCGATGATCTTTTAGGATTGCAGGAAGGGCATTTATTTATGATTTTTGCGCCCCTAGCGGCTTGCGCCTATAGGCATGGGCCTACTCTGCCTATAGGTAGGTACGGCCCTGGTGGTAGCGCTTATATACGATAGTTTTGAAGCAAGCATTTTTGCCTAGAATACATATCAGCTTTAGGGGATGATTTATTGGGGTTTAACTGGATAAGCGAGGCGAATTTATACAAAATCTTCTTCATATGGAGAGGCCAATTTAATGATGCTATGCATATTTTCGCCTAACTGTCTTTAAGAGACAAAGGTAGGGCGACTTAATTTATTCAAATAGATTTTATTGAATATTCTTATTTTACATCGACAAAATAATAAGCTTTCTTGGGAAACGTTTTTTTCCTACACTCAATGAATCATCCAAACCAAGCGTACGTTCAACAAAACAACGGAACGTTACAATAGAATAATGTGTGCAGTACTTAACAAGCGTTTCTTCTTGGGGTATTAGGTAAGGGTACACAATCTTACGGTTAGAGTTTTTTTAAACAAAATTTGTAAGGGCATACACAACACAATCTCTAGTGAACTTTTTTCGGTTTAGTCAAAGACCTTTTCATCAAAAGAAAACTTAATGATGTTATGGTCATATAAACGAGCATAATAAGAAATCTTAGAAACGTTTGTGCGCAATTTTTAACTTGCGGTAAGTTAAAAGCAGTAATTTTCTTCACTATGAATGCATCCACCTAGAAAATTATTTTTCCCGGACAATTAATGTTTGTGTTAGTGTAACAACGGAAATTATTAAACCAGAAAATATGCTTCTATTTCAGAAAAAAATGTGTAGTCATGGAATTATTCGCTTTTATTACCTCCGTTATGTACCAGAGCATATAGGTACTCTTACTTGCAGTTGGAGATATAGTCTTAAAAGCCACTAAATTACGTCCTTTATTGTTTTTCAAAACTTTGGATTTAGATTCATTCGCTTTTTCAGCGAATGTGCGTATGTTCAACCATGATTAAAAATTGGTTTACCTAATGATTTGGCACATGTATATCAAGGCAAGAAATTGCATTGGTACATTTTTACGCAACTACTAAAAAAAGTGTTAGATTACTTTTTTAAACTATTCCTAAATCGAGACAGAACTAACACTGACTCTTATGGTAGTTCATTGAGCTTAAACTATGACTATGAAAATAATTAGACATTTTTTCTTTACTTCTTGATTTCAAAAGGACAACATTTGTAACGGGAGTCGGTTCACGAATGTTACTTAAATTTTGTTTTAAGATTTTATATCGATATTTTGTGGTATGTTCTGGTCAAATTTACCTGTGTAGGGGCGTCAGATAATAATCCCACTGCAGAGGACACTGCGTGTCGTAGGAGGCGACTAAGCAATGGCAAATCCGCCGCAAACCTAGCGCTGGAGTTTGGAGGGCGAAGGATGTTTGTGGATTGACACGATTTTGACTTCTATATTTTACCGATAATGACTAATTTTTCGATTATGACGACTTTAGTATTACACTTTTTTCATTTCTCCATCCTACCTCTGGTTAATCTTCATATATCTTTAAAAAATTTAACTTGGGGGTGGTTCTTGTTATGTAATTCGAGAAACAAATGTGCTTCGGCTCAGTGTTGTTAATCAGTGATCCTTTTCTGACCTCTTAAGGATAATTTTGGATTAAGGATATTAACGTCTATGCCATGGTTCTCTGTCTGAGAATAAGCAATATTGATCATTATATTCGTGGATTAAACATTGACTCGCCACGTCGATTTTGGTGTGCCCGTTTCATGTCGCAAAAGATTGTCAGCAAACAAACATAAAGGAAAGATTCAATTGATTTCAATGGGCACGTAATTCGAAGTCTGATCTAAGTTTTAACCTCTAATCGTTTGATGTTTTTTTACGAACTATCCTCAATTATCCGTATATAGGTACCCTTTGGTCACTTGGTGATGTTATTTTGTGCGAGGGCTGGGATTAGAAATTTTCCAAAAATTTCCAACATAACTGTAGAAGGCATAAACGCATAAATGACGAGATAAATGACTTGTAGAACTCTGGTGTTATTTCAATTACCAATAGTTCTGCGGGTAAGCGCCAAGTAACTCCATGTCTCATCACGACGCATAAAATGTCGGTCGTGAGAAAAGAACCGTCGCCTACATTTTATATAAATAGTTCAGTACTTAGATCATTAACAAAGATGAGCAGCATAAAGTATTTAGGTCACAACAGTAATGAATTATAAAGTAATAAAGTTTATGTTGTAGGTACTTCAATTTGGTTCCTTTAGGTCAAGGCGAACATAATTAATGTTGCATTCTAAGACCGAGATTAATTTACGGAAATTTTTTGTTTGTTTATTTCTCACCGCATTTGCATACTATTGAGGGAATTCTATAAACGATTGTGTTTTTGAAAACAGACGCTAATTTATTTATTTTTTAGGGAAATATAAATTTCATTTGAATAATCATTACGAATTTTTATTGCCGTTTGTATTTGTGGGAAATTTATTTTGCATAACTGTATTTACGTTAGAAATATACATTCAAACTGACAATTTCAAAAGTGACAATCGCCAAAACACAATTAGATTTGGATAGCGAATAGAAAGAGAGGATACAAGAGGGATGCCTTCTTGCATAATTTCATTTGGAAACGATTGACGACAAAGTAAAATTGTTGAGTGATTAATTACTCAATGGTAAAATAGACTGGTCCACTTTTATAAAAAGCAGCGTTTTAACAGGTTCTAGGGGCATTTCAGACAACATTTGGCCAAATAGGCGTTTTTTACTAATTTGGACCTGCTGAACACGAATATCGATGTTGGCATCTCGAAATCTGAACAGGAAGTTCAGAATTCAAGATGGCGGCCAATTTCCGAAAATGTTGATCTTTTCACTCATGCGACCGATTTTTTCGATCTAAAAACGGATTATAATGTTATTCCTGACGGAGGTACGGCACGATAATAATAGTGAACAAATGTTTAAACAATGATTCCATAGTTTTTCTAACGTCAAAGTGCGTAAAAGTGGAAACCTTTTTTTCATAGTACTGTATGGCTACTGTTTAAATTTGTTCACATCGTGTAATTATTAAATTATTTCTGTTTTGGCAAGCATTTTGGTTCCTGTGCGTCGTGTGATAGATATCCGCGATGTTCCATTACCTCACATATGTATGGAAGAATTTCCTTTCATTAGAGGAAAACAAAAGAAACGAGTTATTGTCGCATCACCTTGAAGACGCCTCATTTGACGGCGTACTGGTGATTGCTGGAGGTTTCAGTGATGAAAGAAAAGTTTTCTGTAACCGTCAGACGACACAGATTTCCTCCTTACAAGCTTTTCACAAGGAAGCGGATACTAGGATAACGCTACATATACATATGTATTTCTGTTGCTTCTTCATCACTTCGAGAAAATACTGGCAAACTAAGTTTGGTTGCTGACCGGTACTTCAAGAAAGATATGTATTTGTTCCTATCCATAATGTGGTGCAGAGGAACTGGCCAAAAGCAGTAACGAATAGCCTGTTCTTTTACGCTATCACAGGAAGTGATGTCACGTCATTGCTGTTGTGAATTTCCACGCTTGGATACATTTTTATTTATTTATTTATTTATTTTTGACCTTTATTTTTAAGCAGGGGGTTTCAGGCAAGGCTGGTCTACCAACCCAACCCACTAGACATTTACAAATATCTATATATCCGAACTCGGATGTGAACCAGATAGTGTTTCAAAAGCGCTCTTCCTTACTGTTCACGCTGGGTACCATACTCCTCAGCGAGAAGATATATCTTTTGCAAAAATCTTCGTGGAAAAACTATACAAGGTTGGTATCATAACTAAGTACATGAAACTTCACTTGTTCAGAGTATCGACCTGGCTCGCATATTTTAGGTGGCGCCTTTTCCTCTATTTAGGTAGCTGATACCATAGTTTCCACCGATGGTGCGCGTCCCGCTTAGTTCGGTAGGGAGAAGTCGCTACCAGACGTCCGTTTGGAAGAATGCGCACGTCCCTGGCCCCATCTCGGTTAATCAAGTAGGACTTCCCAGAGTGGAGAAGTATTGCCAGGTTTCAGAAGCTGCGAAGCTTTAGATCTAACAATTCTGAACTCCATTCTCTTGGGATTCCATCTAATCTTTTCTAGCATTTCGTCCATTTCCCTAATTACGACATATCAGGTGTAAATCGCAAGAGGTACTTCTTTGACCCTAAACTCTGAAATGTCGCTCAGACTAGTATATCTATCCTTCATTTCCTGGGGAAGGAATTGAAAATGGCTACATTCCCATTCTCCCAACGTTAGATTAATTCCGAAGGCTGCTCTAGATATCGTCCTTTGTCGTTGTAAATAGGATTGCTCGTCAAAACTTTGTTAATGTTGCAAGGCTCAACTGACTTGTACATGTACTCCCTATATTCTCAAGAAGACGATTGACCTAACACCATGAAAATAAGATAAATTTGGCTACACTTTTCTATATGCTTTCATACTGGCATAATAATAATATATCCTGAGTAATTAATACCTAGCAAAATAAGAATCTTCCGAAACACCGCAGTTTAGTTTAACTCCTTCATTTTTTTTTCATTTAAAATTCGAAAGATTGTAGTTATCTAAACTTTATAAGGAGAATTATGCAATATAAACGCTTGTCGGGAATACTTATACGTGTCAGGATTACTAGAAACAATCGTTTTGCAAATCCTCCTTTTGGCAAGGAGAGCTAGGAATTTCTTAATTTTACGCATCCTGCCGCTAAAAAAACTATTACATTATTGTTAAAACAATAGTTAACTATTATTATCGTGACGTACGTCAGGAATAACATTATAATTAGTTTTTAGAACGAAAAAATCGGTCGCATGAGTGAAAAGATAAACATTTTCGGAAATTGGCCGCCATCTTGAATTCTGGACTTCCGGTTCAGATTTCGAGTTGCCACCATCGATATTCGTGTTCAGCAGGTGCTAATTAGTAAAAAAAGCCTTGTTGGCCAAATGTTGTCTGAAATGCTCCTAGGACAGAAAAACTTCGAAAAGTGAACCAGTCTAAAACCTAATGAAA